GATTCAGATGGTGATGTAAAAACTACAATTTGTTCAAAATTAATATTTATATATTTTACAGTTAGATTCAATAATGTTTATACAAGTATACTTTTTATTATTTGTGTGTTGAATATTGAATGTAAATCAACTGAATCTAATAGTTTAGGCTTGTTAGTTCACTTTAGTCTTTACTATTATAGATATTTTCAAATAATACACTGCAAAAATATTTTTTATACTGAAAGCAAGCAAAATAATCTGCCAATGAGGAAAGCAAGTTAATCCATTTTTGCCTTTTTGAGATAAGATTATTTACCCCATTTTCAGATATTTTTGATTGTTTGTTTGTTTAAAAAGAAAAACTTACATAATTTTGGTATATAAACATCTGATTTTGATTGTTACTAAAACAAGAATATAATTTTTGCTTTTGTAACACATTGGTGCAACTGCAACTGCAACAGGTTGAGTGGATCGAACCAGCTATTCCTTGCATGGGAGTCAGTTGCTCTAACAAGGAGGCTAAAGATCATGGCGTCTGTCGCTAGAGCACATTTAGGGGTCAGATGAGTGAGGTTTACCTGCATAGCACCCGATAGCTGACCTCCATTACCCCCTAAACCTCACTTCCATCCCAGACGAGCCTCTATATGGCTATAGCTATGGCTCATGTCTCAGAATGGTTAAACCAGTCCTGTTTGAAACTGCATGTAAACCAGGCCCGGATTGGCTAATCGGAAGGACCGGGAGAATTCCCGGTGGGCCGGTCCGTTTTTTGGCCGCGAGGGCTGGTGTCCCTAGCTGCAGAATCTGTTGCTCTCAGCAGTCACACTTTTTAAATTTATTTATTTACTTGACCACAGCCTTTTTATTCATTATTTTACCGCAACTCTTCTCTTTTCATCTATTTTAATGATTATAAAACTCAGTTGTGTCTCCTTTCTGAACACAGCTATTGTGGTCCAGCGGTTAGCACGTTAGATAAAGACGCTGTGGACCTGGGTTTGATCCTCGATAGAGTAACTTATTGTTTTCATTTTTATTGTTAAAACATATAATACTGTTAGGGTTGTTGAACATTTAAAGTTCTAAAGCAGCTGTTTTCTCAAAAAAAGATGTGATAGTGTAATTAGAAACTGATTTGGAAATGACCTTATTTTAATATAGTCAGTCGTGAACTGAGGTGGGCCGGTCTGAGGCTTGAAACTCCAGGGCTGAAAAGGTGTCCCACTCCGGCCCTGATGTAAACAAAACAGTTGCAATGTACTTTCCTAAAACAAACATAGTAAATAATCTAACAGACGTCTAAGGGATAAAATACAAATTGTATCTGATTTTAAATATTTTGGGGTCCAAATTGACTCCAAATAAACTTTAAATCACAAATTAAAAAGGTATGTAAGCGTGTTAAATGTAATATATCTAATTTCCGGTTCATAAGGTCACATTTATCACTGCAGGCAGCTAAAATATTCATGCATTCAATGATTTTTCTTCACATATAACCTACTGTCTAATAACTTGGCCACAGGCAAACAAAACAACACTAAAACCCATAGAGTCACTTTACAAACAGACAATTGAAATACTGGAGAAAAGGCCTCTAAGACATCATCATTGTAACATTTTACAAAAACATAAATTGTTAAGCTGGGAAAATGTCAAGTACTCAAACATTTGTCTGATGTACAAACTCATTCATGGTCTGTCATTCCCTAATCTCAGTCAGTTTGTAAACGTCAGGAACACCACACACAGAGCAACACGAGGGGCAACCAGAGGAGACTGTATTGTCCCACTCCGGAAAAGTACCTTTGGTCAGGGTGCCTTTTTCAGTTACAGCTACACAGGAGTGTAATTCTGTCCCTGGCAGCATTAGAGATATATCCGCCTTTAATATACTCAAAAAACATTTAAAATCTGGTTTACAGAGAATCAGACGTGTCACCTTTCCTATTAAAATAAACCTAGCATTTTTCCATTTGTGCCTACCATCTTAATGATTTGTTGTTTAAATGTGTTTCAACTATTTTTATCTCTATTACAGAATGTTGGTGTTTTAGTTTAATTTGTAAATATTCATTTTTATTAACATTTACATAACCATGTCTATTTTAGTAACTTTTAACTATGTTTGATTGTATAAATCTTGTATTGTTTTTTTTTTTAGGTTGTTCAGGGATAACAGATGAAAAGTAGCCTTCTAGCTAAGAAATGCTAATTGATGTACACTGCCCCTGCCAAATAAACAAATAAATAAATATATGTACCCAGCGGTCCTACTGCACCCAACCCAGTTTGAGCTGGGTGTAACAGAGGCCAGCTAGAAAAGTGCTATGCAGGTAAACCTCAATCCTCTGACCTCAAAAGGTGCTTTAGCAACAGACGCTAGATGCCAAGATCTTTAGCCTCCTAGCTAGAGCAACCAACTCTCATGCAAAGAATTGCTAGTTCAATCCCAGCTCAAACCGGACTGCAGTAGGACCAGTGGGCTATATGTGTCTAAAAATGCTTCTTGATTTAAGAATTTTTAAATATTTGGACTTGAACCAAGACAAAAAAAATCTAAGTAAGAAAAGCTTTGTATATTATCAAACTCAAACTGATTACATTTAGTACTATACCATTATCATTATAGCGATTGCCCTTGTTAGAACAAGCCTTTAGTTTATGCTGAGTAAATCAAACCTCCAAATGATTATACCTCACATCCAAGTCTCGTCTAACCGATCAGTGAACCCTAGAGATATGATCCAAAAGATCCCACAAACCTCATTTCTCATCTGGCACTGGAGAAAGTTAAGGAGAGGCTTTGTAGAAGCATTAGATGGATGAGAGATGTCGATACCCTGTGCCAATCTACCTCCGAGCCCCCTTCTCATCAACCCTTGACTCACAAGTCCTCTCCTTGCCTTAGAAGGGCTCTCAGCGGCAGACGCACAAGAGCTGTCTGAAAGAAAGCTCTCGAAAATGTTCACCTGTGATACTGCTTTTTAACCTCTTAGGTTTCTCTGCGGTTCAAGAGACGTGGCGAGGAAAGCTCTGTGTTTCAGAGGAGCGAGGAAAGAGTAAAAGCTTTCTGTGAAGAGACTTGAGAGAGGCTTGTTCTTTTATGTCTCCAAGGGACACAGTCAAACTTTAGCTGTGGAACTGTCTGCTCCGCCAAGTCTTTTCATTCAGGGCCCAATGTCAGATCACATTCTGCTAATAACTTAGCAGCATCTGGCAAAATATTCTATTTGATCGGCAAAGAGGAAGCGATGGAGATGTCAAAGTGGACCATGTTTGATTAGGACTAGCCGGTATGACAAAAATCACCATATATACTGTATTTATAATGATATAGTACCATCTATGCAAGTTAAATCAATGAACAGTTTTTATAAACTTAAAGAAATATTTAGAAATGAGCAGTTTTCCATATTTTGTGACTCATGTATTTATTTTTCTCCATTTATTTGTGCGCTGGATTTGTGAGTGAAATAAATGACTTTTATTAACATTTATATTCGTTTAAATTATATATTGTCTGGGTTGGTGTTGTGCATTATGGTTATTAAAACTTGTAACAAAGGCAAGGAAAGGCAAGGTTATTTATGAAGCACATTTCATACACAACGGCAATTAAAATTTGTTAAAACATTTTATAAAAAAATCAAAAGAGAAAAACATAATAGTGTGATCTTTCGGATGTAACGCAATGCTCATTTAGTAAAGACACAGCTAAACAGATTTGTTTTAAGTCTAGATTTAAATGTACATCTGATCATTTCTGGAAGCTGAGTCCAGCAGCGGGGGGTGCAGTAGCTGAAGGCCAATTCACCCTGTTTTGACTGAACTCTTAGAAATTCTTGTTTATTTGATCTCAAAGATCTAAGTGATGTTAGGTTTGTATTCAGTGAGCATATCTGTAATGTATTGAGGTCCTAGGCCATTTAGTGATAAGTAATAATACTTATAAAATCTATTCTGATTGTAACTGGAAGCCAGTGTAAAGGCCTGAAGACAGGTGTGATGTGCTCGGATTTTCTGGTTCTGGCCAGAATCCTGGCAGCAGTGTTCTGGATTAGCTGCAACTGTCTGACTGTCTTTTTAGGAAGGCCAGGGAAAAAGATATTACAGTAATCCACCCTGCTGGTGATAAAAGCATGAACAAGTTTCTCTAAATCTTCACTGAAAACAAAGCATCTAATTCTTGCAATGTTTTTAAAATGATAGTTTGCTGATTTAGTTACTGCTTTGACATGACTACTGAAGTCATTTCTGACTACCAATAATAACACCAATATTCTCGACCTTATTTTACAAACTGCCAGTATATCTAACAGATCTTATTCTGTATATGTTATTTATTATACATTTAATCATTTCAAACAACTAAAATGTTAATAAACAGCACTTTGTTAAACTGTATGGTTGAATTTCCAACCTCACAACTCGACAGAACGGAGATGAAGGTCCCATAATGCAATTCACAACCATAAATAAACAAAAACACAGGTTAATTAACAGATATTTTTACAGTGTATATAATGCCTACATGAAAAATGTAAATTTTTAAGTTTAAAGTTTATACTCAGAGGTGTACTCATTCATATATAATCATATTTCTCACATTATTTAGTACTTCAGTGCAAATGTTTGATTATTAATGTAGACATACAAAGTAAATAATAATACAATTCTAAACCCTTTCTAAAAACTAATGATTACAGCTCCAAATAAACAAAAGAGTAAAATATTGCTTTATCAAACATGTAGGCATTGTACTTTTTAAGACTGCAACTTTCTCATGATGCATGTTTCTGTCTGCATCTCCATAATACTGCACTCATTGCACCATAAACAATGTATTTTGCGAAACCACAAATTGAATCATAGAGCATAATATGAAATAGTAGACTATTTTGTCCATCATATTGCATAGCACTGTTTGTTTAAAAGAAAGCTGACTCATTTTTTGTTCAGTTTTTTTCTGTAGGTAGCAGGCTGTGAGGCGAACTGTAACTGTGACTGACCATGACGAGGACTTGAGGAAAAGGCCCTCTGGAGTTCTCAGGCACGTTGATTGGTGGAATGACCCAGTCCCGCTTCTGTCGCCGCAGCCCATTGGATAAGCCTCGCTGCCGTTGTCGTGGAAACGTAATGAGCCGGGGATTTTGATAGTGGTAGTGGGAGGGTCCTCCATAAATGGCTTCGCCAGCAATCTGTGGAGGACAGATATGAAGACTACATGTGAAGCAGATCTTTATATTCACACACAAAGGGAGTATATTGGAAAAAAAGGAAGGGAAAAAAACTTCAAAGAGTTAAAGTGCATGCTATAAATATGAGCATGATGAATCAAAAGGAAAATCATAAATGAATTCTCTTTCATTTCACAGACCTTTTTTCCTACACAGGACTAAGGAGCAAATTGCAATTGGAGACATAAGGTATTTCACAGGGGGGAAATAATAATTGCATTTGTCCGTAATTGGATCCCCGCTAGTTTTAATTGTATGAAAAAAAGTGTTTACTTTTAATTTGCTAATATATCAAAAACCTACACAATGAAAGTGCAATATTCGTTCATTCATTAATTTTTCTTCAGCTCAGTCTCTTTATTCATCAAGGGTTGCCAAGCGGAATGAACCACCAACTTATCCAGCATAACTTTTACACAGTGGATGCCCTTCCAGCTGCAACCCAGAACTGGGAAACACCCACCTGAAGGAAACCCACGCGAACATGGAGAGAACATGAAAACTCCACACAGAAAAGCCAACTGGCCTAGCCGGGACTTAAACCAGCAAATTTTTTGCTGTGAGGCGACAGTGCTAACCACTGAGCCACCGTGGCACCCTAAGGTCTGTATTGACAGATTTAACTAATTTTCTTTTGTATTTTACTTATTTTAAAAAAGCTTTCTGGACAAAAATATCCATTTGATTTAATTATTCGAAATCTCAAATGTAAAAAGAATAGAATATATATATAACTCTGTCTTCACAGAAAGAGCTATTAAATACTAATATTAAATGATTAAATAAATAAATTCTTCATTGTAAAAAATGCTAGATTTCACACAATTCCTTTATGTTGTCTGAACACAAATCAACTAGTTAACTTAATTGCTTTTTCACACTTAAGTGGATAGAACATAAAACAATTAAGTTGTTTAAAAGATAACTGAAGAATTGAGTTGATTCAGCTCATTTTAAAAAGCTCATTTTGAACAACCAGCTAAAATAGCACTTAATATTTAGCATTTAATATATTTTGTTGGTGACGCAGTGGTGCAGTAGGTAGTGCTGTCGCCTCATGGCAAGAAGGTCGCTGGTTTGAGCCTCGGCTGGGTCAGTTGGCATTTCTGTGTGGAGTTTGCATGTTCTCCCTGCGTTCGTGTGGGTTTCCTCCGGGTGCTCTGGTTTCCCCCACAGTCCAAAGACATGCAGTACAGGTGAATTGGGTAGGCTAAATTGTCTGTAGTGTATGAGTCTGTGTGTGTGTGTGTGTGTGTGTGTGTGGATGTTTCCCAGAGATGGGTTGTGGCTGGAAGGGCATACGCTGCATAAAAACGTGCTGGATAAGTTGACGGTTTATTCCGCTGTGACGAGCCCGTATTCATAAAGGAACTGGGCTGAAAATGAATTAATGAATGAATATATTTTGTTTTCTTTAACAATTTTTTTAAAGTGTATAAAATATTTAAACATTTTAATGAATATAGAATGATTTACTGGCTAATAGATACCATTATTTAAAGTTATTGCAAAATTAAACCTACAGTAATTTAAGCATAACATTTTAGTATCGCAAAGAGTTTGTGTTTTGTTGTGTGGGTGGGGCCCTAATAGTAACTCTGGGGGCCCAAAACGGCGTGAGCCCTTAGAATTGACCTAACTAGTGGCACCCCAGAGCGCATGTCCTCAAAATCCATTAAAACAACATCTTTCCTTTCACCAGTCCTCACTTCATATTCTCAGTAATTACCTCAGGACATGGACAATATGTTGCTCAATTAAAATGAAAGTGCCAAACTGCAGTTAAAGTAAAAAAAAAAATAAATAAATAAAATGAAACACTGGAAATTACACGAAACTCCAGAGGAAATGTGAATAGTGTTGTGACGCAATGACATTTATCAATCTATGTGCAATAACATGTAAAACAGAATCATAAAAAAACATTCAAAAAGCAACTCATGGAAACACCTTAATCCTATTTTAGTCTTATTCAGATTAAGGCAAATCATTATATCACTGATGTCCATGTAAATGTAGTCACAAGCCCTAGAAAAAATGTATGATTTTGAGCCTTTCCACAGATCAGTAGTAAGCTAACGTAATTTTAAATGCATAATGCAAATCTTAAATTCATGCTAACAAACAAATGATCAAAAAATAATAATGCAATTTAATTCAAATACAGTATATAAACTATGAATTGATGTATACTCATTCATTCATTTTCTTTTCAGCTTAGTCCCATTATTAATCAGGCGTCGCCACAGCAAAATGAACCGCCAACTTATCCAGTATATGTTTTACCCAGCGGATGCCCTTCCAGCCGCAACCCAACACTGTGAAACACCCACACACTCATGGACACACTCACATATACTATGATCAAAACATTTTTTGTCAAATAAAATATTTTTCTAGAGTCATCCACCATAATTTTGTGGCTCAAAAGTATCGGTTCAGACAACGTTTTTGCACCGGTACTGTTTTAAAAGTATCACTTTAGCACCGGTATCAAAATAACCCCAAACGATACCAAACCCTATTAATAACAGAAACAATAAACAACTAAACGATAAACCGTTTAAAAAATAAACAAAAAAATACAAAATTGTAGAGACATCCACCACAATTTTGTGGCTCAAAAGTATAATTTCAGGCACTGTTTTGGCACCAGTACCGTTTAAAAAGTATCGATTCAGCACCGGTATCGAAATAACCCCAACCCTACTAATGACAGAAACCATAAACATGTATAAACTGTTTAAAAAAAATCAACACTTTAGAAAGAATTGGAAAAAACTTATTGTGCAGAGCAGAATGAATCACAACTGTAAACTCATTCGAGTCTCCCGAGCAACGGTACGACAGATGCCTTGAGAAGACAAACGCACCTTTAATAGGTGAACATATCTTTCCAATTATCACTAATCAGTCATTATTTGTGAAGTAATGGTACGAAACAACAGTGGTGGAGCAGTTTGTGCACACCTGAGCCCCAAATACACAGGATCGTAAACATAGCTGCGGGGTTTCTGCTAAAACGACCAATCAAAATGACAAATCGCATCAAGGCCTCTGTAAAGCAGCCCTTATAACACAGCAATACCACAGTGACGCATACCATGACATTTCTTCATGGGTGCCCAATGAAAAAGATTGATGAAATACCACATCAATAATTTAGACAAGAAAAACTAGAGCTGCCGCTGACCCTTGCTTGATTCATCCAAAGGCCAAGGAAAGGGCTGAAACCAGCAATCAAACGACCGCCGTTTTTCACAGCACCTGACGGCATGAGGGAAAAAGAACTGTCCTGTGGTTCCTTCACTGTTCATTCAGCGCTCATCTCTGAGTAGTCAGTTCTTGGTGTAATCCTGTGTTTCTTTCTCTGATACTTTGACATTTGTGGCACTGCATTATCAAGCTGAGTTGCTTTTGATTAATTATACAATATTTTTGTTTATTATATTCTACTAAAATATTTCTAACATTTATAATAGTACTCGTTTTCTCAGAATTTTACCCACTTATTTTTTCTAACATTTTTCAGAAAAATAGATAGGTAAAAGTATTTATTTTTATATATTTAAAAAAGTTAATATACAAAAAAGTTAATACAATTTTTTATTGAACTATTTTAACATTTCCAATATGAATTAAAACACTTTATGTGGTATATCATACTTTTTTTTTTTGATATTTGGTCAAATAACAAAAATAAAATTGAAATGAAGAACAAATAATTTTTGCATTTTTACTTTAATTAAATAAAACAAATAGTTTTGATTAGTTAGGGAAACAATACACCAACAACAAAAAATTTTCCAATTAAAATAATCATAATGATAATAATGATAATAATGATAATAATAATAATAATAATAATAATAATAATAATAATAATAATAATAATAATAATATTATTATTATTAATATTATAACAAGAGTTGTGACGCCTCCTAATGACGGTCATAATCATGGGCAGGCTAACCCTTGTAGATTTCTAACCACCTACTACTCAGTAGGTACTGCATTTGAGTTTAAACATACTGCTCGGCCGTTAGAAAAGTACGTTCTATGTGAAAAGTATGAACGTACTACATCCGCCATTTTGTCATGGTCACGTGACCTACCTGCGTCAGTTGCGTCGTTTCACTTCCATTCATGAATTCTCTCGTGGAGCATTATGGGATAGGGCAGCGTGCATGGGATGCGCACTCCAGAATCTCACCGGAAGTAGTAAGTCATCCGGGTACTTCTCGCATACTGATTTTCGAATTCTATGAATTCGGACATACTACTCGGCTTGCATACTGATTTTAGCGTACTATATAGTATGGAACTATGCGGTTTCGGACGCAGCCCTAGAGAACATTCATTATCACCCAGAATACAATCCTGTTACCATATGAACTACAAATCCTCACTCACACCTGTTTTGGTTCACCTTTGATTACACACACAGCTGGGAGCTGCTCAAGAACTGATTGCTCAGACTGTATAGTCGGCTCACTTTGTCAAACAAATTGTTGACTTGTTGGTTTATTCCTTGCAATATTAAAAAACTGTTTCCTGGTTCCTCCATGCTTGACCCATGTCTTGTTCATGTTGTCTGCCGCCTGTATCGACTATTTGCCTGTGACTAGTGGTGGGCAAAACAAGGCTTCATGAAACACTGAAACAGTTGAAGCAAATGTGTCGAAGCTTAGAAACGTTTTGAAACCTGTCTCTACAGGTACATCTAGTGGTCGTTTTATGTGTAAATAGATATTTACATTTATATGCAAATTGAGGTATTAATCCCCACGTCGTAGAGTTGAGGTTTCAAGTGATGTAGTAAAGTGGTCAAAGTTCAGGGCTAGCATGCAGAGTTAATGGGCTCGAATCCAAGGTGATGCAGCTATAAATGTTTTTTTTAATGCTCTGTTCTTGTAACGTGTTTTGTTTTAACATTGGTCTGACATGTAAATGAACACTTT